GGTCACCACAAATTTCAGAATAATACTCTGCTTGCTGCAACTAGGGATGTTGAGATGAATAATAAAGTATTTTAAATTCACAATGGATCTCATGAATTTGTGGACCGCTCTGTTGCATTAGATGCTGTGTCCGGTAGAACACCTAGTTCTTGCACTTCCTTAAGATCAAAGTCAGATGCAAAATTGGCTGCTGAATACCTCCACCAGACCGCAGTTTCAAGTTTAAGCATGATATACCGAAGAAGCCCAAAATGACTACAGTCCACAAAGCTAGTGGTGAGGATGCTTTCCTCTTAGATAATCAGTTCTGGCAGTCATGTAGGCTTTTCTAATGCTGTTTCCTGCATGCGAATAGACAACAATGTGCACTAGTGAATAACAACTGTATTACCTGCTAAATCCCACTTGTATGCAAAACCTCTACCTCAAACCTGGTCCTGTCATGTCACGCCTAAAGTCTGTTCTAGCAAGTGTCCAATTTCAACAAGAATATTGATGAATCCGTTCAACTTGATCAGCTTGAACAACTTGAACAGTTGACCTACTTTTATCGCAAGCATCATTGGTCGACTCTGTATCAACATCTCTTTTGGATAGATATGCATCAATTGGTCATAAATTTATATAAGACTTTTCACCATCTTTGCACCTTACAGACGGTGTAATTAAGTAACATCACTTTCTGGTTCTAGCAGAGAATCACACGGATTAGGCTGCCGGTGTTGTATGGATTGACACTAGTGTGCCTCCACCGCTTATGGTGAATGTTTGTATATCAAACGCACGTAAGTGGCTTTGTCCATCGATGGAAATGACAGCTGCCCACTGACTCCTATTAATGACTTGCATAATCAACAGCCTGTCAGTAACATTATGCAGATGACACAACGTAACTTTCTAGTTCCCATAAGCTATTACTACAATCGTGGATTATTTTTCTAGAAGCATTTTCTAGAGGCTCATACTCAGTCTCAACCCCCTCCGCTTTGGCCACCTCCAAATCATTCACCACCGTTGACAATTCACGCTCTGTTTCAACCATTTCTAGCCTGAGTCCAGGTACAGAACTTGAAACTCCAATGTTTAAAATACAGCCTAAAGAAGCTTCTTCATTTCTCGAAACCATCACAATAGTTTTGGAAAACATTCCTTCTCCTCACACTAAGATAAATACACTGCGCTCATTTGTTTTGGTCAATGATCCTGATATCAAATTTATAACTGAATCTCGGTGCCATGATGGCAATCAGGTAACTATTTTCATGTGCCACAAGTGTATGAGAAATTGACCTAGTCGTCAAGGTGGTGGCTGATAATTTAGCTGAAAAAATCGCTCGCAGCAGCAAGATTCGAGAACACCGTGCTGAACGATGTCCAGGAATCATCATGGCTTAGAATATCGGTTAATCAGTAGCAGCCGCTTGTGGGATGTATTTACAGCGCATCAAACTGCAGTCAAGAAGACCCAAAACTATTGACGCTTTCATTTACTTGCGCCGCTAGCTGACCATTTATACATAAGATTATTGGAGGTGATTTCAATAAGTAATCGATTTCATGACCCATAGGGACTGCTCCTTTGAAATGCCGAAATCCTATGTCCTGTATACTAATGAATGACTGGCAAAACACGTCTCTCAACCTACCAGGGGTGAAAGTATTCTGGATCTCAGTTTTGTCTTGGGCATACCTGCAACCAGTGCTAAGGTTCTTGATGGATTTTTGGGGAGCAATTACGGAGTGATCAAATACCGCCTAAGACTCTGCGTGGCCGATGTATAGTACACAAAGCATTATCGTCTGTTCAGTTCCGTCAACTGAAACTCTTTCAAGTACCTGGTTCGTTCGTTAAATTGTGATAACCTCTTTCTCTCTTCAGGTCGTCAAAAAGGGACAAACCTGTTTTATAGTCTCCTTGGCTTTTGCATCGATTCAGTAGTAGCATTAAAAGGTGCTTACCAAACTAAACATAAGTTCGATCGCAAAGTGTTGAAGGCAGTATGAAGTCTGCATAACATTTGAAGGCACTTCAGGTTAACTGCTGAACTTGCGTTGTTATTACAGCAGTCCAATTTAGTTGAAGAACAGGTGCAGCAAAATGACAAAACGCTTATCCTAGAAGAGTATAAAGCTCTGAACGGCCCTAGCAAAACAACTGAACTTGCCAAACTATTCTGTGCCCGGGGTTCGCGTCGCACCTGCAATTTCAATTTGCTCACCACGTCCGATAGAACATACTTCGACGCACCAGGTGATATCTGCGAAGCGTTTAGTGCTTATTTTGCCGAATCACTGATCAACGAGTCATCAAACGCACCAGCAATTACCATGCCATACAACATTGAATGTCTATGCACAGTGGAATTTACTGTAGTGAAAATAACGGATCAAGTCTCTCGCTTATGCTACTCAACTTGCAAACGCCTTGACTGGATCCTTTTCGCTTTAATAAGAAGCAGCGATATTGACTTCCATCTGCTTTTGCTCAACATCTTTACACCCTATTTCAACAATGGCGTATACCTACTCAATAGAAAACTTCTGTCTTTATCACGTGACACGAAAGTGGCGCCACCCACATGGTTAAGAAATTTCGTCCCATCAATCGCACATCCATCTTACCTAGAATGATGGAAAGGATAGTGAAATATAGACTATTTGTACTCGTGAACAAGGCTAACATCATCAACAATTCTTACCACGGTCTCATGCAATGTTGACCCTGCGCAACTTGCTAGACAGACTTTTTAAACCCCACAAAGGCTGACCTAGGCAACGGAGTGTTGGTATCCTGTTCCAGGATATGCAAAAAGCTTTTGATGGACTAACAGAAAGTTACTGAACTAACGGAAGAACATGCATCTTGGGGGACCGATGTTTTCTTGGCTGTCTTCATTTTGAATTGGTAGACAACAGGTGCTGCATATCGGTGAGCATTTCTCTAAACTCAAAGCAATCACCAGTGGAGCAATTCAACAAAGTGTTCATGGTCCTATTCTTTTTATAATATATATTAGAGATAAGTTCCAGAGAATAAGAAACGGTGTTACGGTTATCCTTGCTGATGACATAAAATTAAAATTCGCCTACTCATTTGTGACATTAAAGTTGTCTACTCACAACAACGTGTAAATACGCAGGAAGCCGTACGTCGCACTTAAGATGACTTATCTGTAGTTGGCTCCTGGTGCCACCTGTAGCAGATGTTATTTGCCGTGGACAAGTGTAATATTTAGCCCTTTTAAATGCCAAGTGCCGCCAGACAATATATTAATACAGGACGCATGCGTTTCGCAAAGCAGGGCACTTCGCGAATGGGCAGGCGATATCCAGTCACTTTTAACTTTCATGTACACTGCGACTTCAAGTTTCGAAGATCTGAAGACCATTGGTACATATGTCACCATTTTTATCTCACGACATCCTGAATATAGCTTTCCAAAACATTCGTATTTTTTGAATGGAATACTGTTCATTGGTTCAGTCTAATCTGCGGAAAGCTGACCAGCATGCTTTTGAGAAGGTCCAGAGACGCTTCGCCAAAAAGTGATGTGGATATTTCTCAGAAGACATACAGAGTGCAATGTGATTAACTGGGATTTTCCCCCGTTTGGCTTTGGAGAATGAAGTTGGACATATGTTTTCTTTACTCAGTCACAAACCGTCAAATGCACAGCCTTGATAACGACGTTCACTTATCCTTCAAAAGCCGATGTACAATCGCTAACAAAGAGATAAATGTTCTGATTCCAAAATTCACTACAAAAATGAGAACCTTCCTTTCTACTCCACTACTCAAAGATTTAGAACTAATTTTTCAGAGATAACCGAAAATGCTATACACTACAATTTTAAGCTTGCGAGGTGTAAGCAGTTAACCTTACAAAACGTGATTAGTATGTTCCAGACATCAGGTTCCCTAGATAACGCTTAGAAAACGGTCTCGATTATGCCTGAATAAATCTGAAAAACACGCATAACAATTAGGACCATAACCCCTTTCATTACATTTTATCTGTCTCTTACCTCTATAATCTGTCACGTGACTGAACAGAACCGTGGTTCAACGACGGGAAAATAACAGCAGAACGATTCTGCTTACTTTGCGTTACCTAAATTTAAAATTGTATCCATGTACATTCTTGAAAAATTAATAATGCAATGGCATGAAAAGGATGCACATTACTTGATCTTTTTCTTCCAGGGAACAGCTTCTCTCATCATCAAGAAATATACAAGTTAGATATTCATATATTTATATCATGAATTTGCATACAGCAGGGCAGGGCCCCAGACGTACGACTTCCTTATGTCTTTTACCAATCTGTGGTTGCTGTCGGACCAAGTTTAGCCGCGCCGAATCTCCTCAAGAAATATCGTTAGGTTGATTGTCCTTACTGTGTTGATGCAATACGCAGCAAGGCTGAATTAAATTTCATACCTTTAGCTAATGTGTAATGATGGTGGTGGCTATGTCTGGTTGTTTCCGCCTGATAAGAATCTTTTCAAATTACTCTAACTACCCTTACTGCTTTTTAATAAGCCAAAGGTCGTTAGGTCCATGGAGTTTACTGATCATGACTTGTGAGTGATGTAGTTAGAAATAAAATGCGAAAAAATGACAAAAATTCAACACTTCCCGAAAATTATATGTTCTGTCTTGGCATGTCATCCGTTGCTCGAAATGATTGCACACATGTCTTGAAATCCTTAAGTCACCGTTTCGTATTCCCGTAGGAACATACTTGGTGGTCGTATGGTAACGAAGCGTCGGAACGGTGTGCTGGTCTATTGATATTGATTTTTTGTCTTGGATCCGGGAGTTAGAGGGTAGTATTCGATTTGTTTCTTCTAAGGGTAGTTTTTACTTCCCTGTTTCAGTCACAAAATCTGAGTCTTATATGAATGTTAAAATACACATTTACTCCAGCAGTCTATGTTATCGCAAGCAGTAGCTAAGACTTTAAAATATCACTTTGTTGCACAGTGGGTAAACTCACTTCCATCAACTTGATCAGAGTCCGGATGCCGTGTACCAAGTTTGCTGGGATTGGCTTCATACTATCATGGATTATCAGCTCTAGCAACAATTGATATAGCGTCCGATCGGCTAATTCGATAAATTGACAGACGTTCACATCATCACACAGCATCGTTAATAACCGTTTGGGAGGTGTACATTCTAAGAACGGGGCCTGCAATAGATAGATAGAACCGATGAGTTAAGAACTGGCAACTAATAATACTCACGTTAATTTGCATCAGGCTGGCTAAATCTTATATCGCGCTCCACAGTGGGAACAAAAACAACCGCTTATTCGGTATGTCGCGTAGTGGCCAATACCCTAGTCTGCTGCGTGTGATGTTGCACACGCACAACGATTATCCAATGAATCTTTACAATAGCTATTACAATTTGTATCTTCTTAGGTAAATTTCCGATTCGCCGATACATAGTAAATTCATAGATAGGCAGAAAAATCCGCAAAGTGTTTCTCGAAACCAACGGAGTTCCTCACAGTTGATCAACCAAGATTATCAACGCTGTGAGACACAACATATCATATCCCATAAATCCAGCCTATTTCAACCTGAGGGCAAATATGCACTGTGTACAGCTTCGCTTTCATTTGCAGTAAATACCTACGTCTGGTTCTCTAAGGTGCCGCTCCATCTACCAAGTGTTGAACATTTCGAATATTGAAACTAGAATACTTTGTGCTGCATAGAAGAACATAAAGACTGAAATGTCATATTGCCAATGTTAGGGACGAAAAAAATCACCAAAAATCGTTCCGTAACATCAACGAACAAACTAACACAACTGTCAACCGGGCGCCAAAATTGGTGCCATGCTGCTTGTAATCCGTTTAACTTCAGGTTCACAATATCGGAATACACACGCGCACAGTGAGCTTCGTACAGTCGAACAAACTGTGCCACATGGCGAATAGAGATTGCGTCTACCGGGCCAAGAGAATCGGTGGACTCTTCGATTGACTCTATTTTGACCTGGCGTGGGTGCAAATCTGTAGTAGAGAATAAACAACAGTATGTTTGGAAGGGACATATCTAAAAGAGGCAAAAGAAAGTTGTATTCGCCATTCAAACCATAACACTTTGCTATGCTATATCTTGATGTTGTCTAAATAACAAGGAATACGATGAGCGCCAGAAAGACCACATTTTGATTTCAATACGCGACAGCGAATTATGTACAGCCCAAACTGACCCACCCCAACTATTCTGAGAACCGTCCGACTTAGGCTGGCAACTTTACTGAAACAAAAACAGTTAGTCCTCTGCCAAGTTGACGACTATGCGATTCACTATAGAGAAAATTTAGTAATATATTAAGCCGAAAATTGCGCCAAATCTTCGCTTGCAAATTCAATAGCAAGTACAATACGTTGACATTGGGGGCCAATACTTCTTCTTCAGAATGTTTTTTAGGCGGGAGCTTGAATACTGTACAACTACGTGTAAATCTGAGAAACCTGAACATGATAGCACTGGAAAACATCCAAACATCATTCACAAAGAAAAGTTCCAACCTGCCTAACATTGTGAATTATCGTGAGCTTTGCAAGTCCCTATGACAGCAGCCGCTATGGCTGCACATAATCATAATTAACCTTTACCTTCTGTACCGTTTATTATACGGCTTACTTTTTACAGCTCAGATACCATTCGAGTCTCAGGATCCCAAGTGTTATGGCATAAGAAACAGCGGGTGCATACTGCATATTCAAAAGTCTCGTACCAAGCTCTGCTCCTTTTTTCTCCGTAAGATATGCGGTGATATGGAACAATGTTTCACCAAATAACATAAAACGATCTACGTATCTGCAATTCAGACGGATGGTCAATTTTCAACTGTACCTTTCCAATATGTTCTCAACACAGTCAAAATTTACTCTGGATGATTTGTATGAGAAAGGTCCTGGATACAATATAACTTTCCATATTCTATAATTGTCTCAATAAAAGAATTTTAGCCTCATAAGGAGTAACTCCCTAGTATGCAATTGAAGTCTGTCTTATTTCTATCAGTCCTACACTCCCGTCTAACCAATACTGCCTTCTCCGTTGTTGCACTGTTTCGGAGACGAACTGCGCCTTTTAAGCTGAAATCTCTGCACTGTCGTCGTTGTTCGCAATGATTTACCGCAAAATTGTGCTTGACCTATAAGCACAAAGATTGTAAATGTTATTATGTTTTTAATACTTGATATCTCACTTCCCTCTTTATTTCACCGTTGGACACGACTAGGCTGACCCCTTGAGGTGACGGATTACAGCTTCAAGTTAAAAAACTTACGCTCATGCAAAACAAACTACCACTGACTGACTCTCTGGCAAATAGGAAAACAGTGCCATCCTTGAATGATCCACATAACGGATCGGACTGAGGCTTCATCGCCTATAATATATCCATAAAAAGGCCACAAAATATGTATGCCAGTAAATCGGCTTTGTCACTAAGCAAACGCTGGTCATGTACCAAATCATCCGGCTCTGGTAGTTCAATAAGGTGTGGGTTGACTCTATCAGCTTCAAACTTTTCACAGATCTCAGCATAAGAGATGTTGCTGATGCGGAATCAGTACTCATCATCAGTCGCATGTTCACTGGAGGCACTTGAATGGTTAAGGTACAATCCTGAGGAATAGGTCAAATGGCTGATGGAAGATCGGGGTAAGGAAGTTTATCCTTTTTTCGGTTGGCGCTTCCAATGACCCTGGCTAAGTGGAAATGGCAGTCTGTTGTTGATCTTTTGGCTCCCTCCACACCAAAGGGATTCTAATGGACACCTTCCCTTTACCTCAGACCCAATGAGTCAAATGAAGAGTGCACAACACACAAAAATATGCTTCGCGCCCTTCTTATCCTGGGCTCCCAGTAGGTAGGCAGAAATCAGTAGGGAAGAAATGGGTTTGCGCTGTGGCTTAGAAGGAAACTGTCCATAAAATAAACAAAAATGAATTCGGTCACTGACACAACATTGTCTTCCAACCATGATGAAGATAAATTAAAGAAACACAGCTCCCAATCGACTTTCAGGATCAGGTGGATACCAAAGCCAAGGGGGTTGGTTTTCAACGATTACAGGGGGGCCTATGAACCGATCACAGACGAGCATACGATGCACGGAAGGCACTGCTTAGCGGAAAAGAAAAGGTTAAAAAGCTAAAGTGAAAGAAACATCTAGTTCGTGTGCTTGTAATCAGCTCACTTGATACTATTAGAAACACCCTACCTCATTTCAGTTATTAGAGTGATATTGCACAATGTTATCCGCTTCAGCTACTTTCTTAGTAGCCCAAGCGACTGCTGTTCACTACAAAGTGAATTGTGGTCTCTATGGAGATGGTACGTTGCAGCGCATTCGCAGGACATGTGCTAAGCCGTTTCTGGGAGTGTTTCACACAAAGAGCGAGCCGGTGTACCCTAATGTGAGGAAGAACCTCGGTGCTAAGCTTGATGATCACATTGACGGAAACTTTTCTCGGGATAGTGGATTCAAACAGAGGTTAGGGTCACCGGAGACAACTATTCACTCCTACCTTTTCATATACTAAATGTTTCCAGTATCCCAAACTCCATCACCTGTGCACAGCTTGCGCATCTGTTACGCCATCTAGTTATTTGTACTCTGTGACATTCCAACTGGCTCACCGAACTTTTGTTTATGCTATACCTGAGGCAGCTGTGACTGCTAACCCAGCAGAGGGAATCTCAAGGGGTATGTGGTAGGCCAAAAATTTCATTATATAGAACCACAATATAATCCGTGTAATTCAATAAATATTGAGTAAACAGGGCATCGTCGTGGACTAAACTAAACGGACAAACGACCTCTCAGTCACGGACTGGAAGAAACTATGCTGCTCTTTCCAAACAAATCAATGGAAATCTGGCAACCTAGATATACATCATCCTTCATCGCGTGTATTTAGAGAGCGCAACAGTAATAGGTTAAACTAGGTCTGAAACGCACGGCGATGAATTTCATATCAACCGATTAAGCCAAACCTTGCTGAAGCACTCTAGAAGCTCATATTGACGCTTTCTTTTGTCACGCAGCCATTAATGCTTGCATGATGGTTGTGGTAACTCTGAGTTCCTTAGAACTGGTATCTTTGAATCGATAGTACCTGAGTGTCGAAGACACGTAGATTGTTGTCAAGCCGCACATCGGTGTCAGAACTGGCAGCTAAATGTGAATGCCATGGAAATTTTATGTTTGCCATTTCTCCAACAATGATTTAGCAGTGCAATTAAAACTTGCTCAATTCAGTTAGTTTGAGTGGACAACAAACACTTCAATTGGGATAAGGGATGGATTATAGTTAAATGAAATAAATAAAAGACACGAATTTCATCGAAGCTTTATTTTCCTCAAATACTTCATCTCACATGCGCATCGACAGGGATCCATTATATCAACTACTGACGCGGAAAAATTTCAGAGCAAGTGAAAATAAACAAGAAAACAAGGTTGGAAGTACCCACGGACGCCGCGGAGTTTTGCAGTACCTTGCAGTATTCCAGTTTTTCTTCCGGGATTATTCTGTTATACGTGATTTTTCTGTGTGAATTCTACACCAATATTTTCGTCTTAGTGTATTCTTCAACCTGCATAAATTTGCTGCAGGTTCTCTGGCCAATTTCGGAGTGTTCATTGTTTGGCCCAATTACCGTCTGTGTCCGCCATCTTGGATTGGTTGCACGTCAAGAGACGTTTGTTGAATTGTAGCTATTATCGACAAACGTAGCCGTGAAATCTAACCCACGTATTAAACTCCAACTGCGAGAACTCACCCAAGGTTGGTTTGGGTTGTATAAATATATCGCAATGGCCCCACTAAAGTCTAGCAGCATTCAGCAAGCTAAGCGTAGTGTAGTTTCCACGCCACCAGCAAAGCGAATGAAATGCGGGACCTTAAAGGAAAAGCGAAAATGTTCCTCGGCTAAGAATATACTGAACGCAGAACTAAGTAATAAATTGCTTTCTTTAGAATCACAATTTATTGAGATGAGAAAAACGCTGGCATTCATTCGAACCCTCAAAGATCACCTGATTACACTTGACTACATCAATAAACAATGGAGAAGACTGATCATGTTCTAATGGGAAAATCAAGGTAGTAAATTGCCTCTGTTGCCTCTGAACTGCACGAACGAATACGTAGAGAACAAAGTGTTTGTTTTAATCTTCTGGCCAGGTTGAGTCTCGATAAAGTAAAATTAACGATACTGAAAGTTTGTAACTTGACTAACGTTGATTGCAAATGGCAGCGTTTAAAAAACTAGACACCGAAACATTGCTGTCATACAATTTTAACTTGTTGTGAGGAATTTGCGCAGCGATTTCTCCAGTTTGGACCCTTTCTAGGCCAGTGCGTCCAATTTAACGGCATTTTGAGTAAATCAGATAGGACACCCCTAAAACGGTCCGAATTTGACAGAGTGCTGCCAACACCGGACAAAATAACTACACTCTTCGACAAATCCCAGCCAAAGGCCCAAAAGACAAGTGCATCCAAGGTGGATACTAGATACACTGATTTAGACATGAATAATCCAGCAACGTTGTCAACTACCTCCAAAGTCGGCATTCCTTGCTCCAATGAAACACCCTCTACACAAGGAACGGATAAAGCGGGTTCTCCTATTCCTGACAACAACATTGCCATTATACCGAACTCCTCATGTAGAGGCATTAAAGGAATGTCTAAGTGTTTGTAACAGTGGAGTAATGACAACACGTCGAATATATCACAATCCGGTCAAAACCAATAAGACAGTCCAAGGATAGACAATCTGATGTAATTCGTAGTCCACTGTTGCCCAAAGAGGACTTCTTCCCTCCAGCGACCTGTCTTTAAAAATCCTATGGATACTAAACACTCGGTAACACCCCAAATTCCCAATCAACCAACCTCCTACAACCAACAGGGTAAACAACCTTCTATGTTGAATAACACCAACTGTCCCTTGGCTACCCCTAAGTATCATCCCATAC